CTCAAGACTCTATTAAAGGAGCTCAGTGTTTTTATACCCATATCACAGGAAGGCAGTTGAAGCCAAGAGGGACCGACGTGCTTAAGGTTAAATGTCCAGCCATATTTCCATTCTGATGGCAAATCGAACTTAGAACCTCTACTTTTTTATCCCCATGTGTCTGTTTATTTAGCATGTAATCCTTCAGGCAGAATTATGTCACTGCTTATTGACGTTTTTGAGCGTCTAAGTATCTCGGCCTTTTTTAAAAGGCATTTATAAATATTTATTGTTTCTGTATAATTATGGCAGAAGGGAGATTAAGCCCTTCTTGATGACTCATAGTTGCTTCTCTGGTCAATGCGTAGCCAGTGGCTCTGGGGTCTTCCTCTCTCCATGCGACTAGCCCTCAGACCCTGGAGTAAATCAGGCCCTGGCTTAAAATCCAACCTTTGTACATTCTTGTCAAGAAAAATACATAAAGTAAATATGAATATGTGACGCCTCGCAAAGGTTGGAACTGATTAAATCAAGCTCACAGCTGCCTTTTATTTTTATTGTCCTGTGTAAGCAAGTGCTAGAATCATTCTTAATGAGCATGCACACATATATATATTGGGGGGGGGATGACTAGGTTCTATCATTCCTAGCATAACACATAAACCCAGCCCACTGTTCCCCCTCACCAAAAAATGGAAAGTTCCCGAGGGTCTCTTGTTTCAGCTCCAAATCCAGAAAGGAAAACAAGAACTGAGAACAGCAGTGAGGTGTGGATCCCCAACATACAACCCCAGAGAAGTTGGCAGTGCTGGTGGAGAAGGCAAGTGAAACATGTCCAGGGTGCTTCTCATCTGCTTCAAAGGTTGTGTTCACACAACATGCTTCAATTGCTTAATGAACTGCAGCTTCTTCCGGTGGGTTAGCGCAACCCGCCAGAAACTGAGCCAAAGGAAATCCTCACCGAGCTTAGCATGTTGAGTGAATGAATCTTTTAGGTCTTTTCCTGACCAGTGAGGAGTGCTGTGTGAACCAACGGTAGTCACTGAGGTTCTGCCCGGAATGATTTCCCCAAAAATTGAGTGTGTCCCGCTGAATAGTCCCTCGCAATAAGCACGGCTCACAATGAAGGTGGTGGTGGACGATCGGTGGCATCTCTCCTTCCAGCCAAATATTTTTTTATGCCTTGAGCATAAAGGAGTCTTAAGACTTTGAGAGTCACTTCAGGTTCTGGTTTTGGCACATCTCAAATGTTTAACCTTTGCTGTCGAGGCTCTTCCCGTCTCTGCTCCCTGCCTCTTTGGACTGGACTTGTCTCTGTCCCTAATGACTGTCCTTCCTCCTTCATAGTCAAAATCCACCCAAAGAGAGAGGCCATTAGGTTCCAAATTGCTTCTGAAGCTAGTCAAAATGCTCTGTGCATGTCCAGAGGCGCCGCTGAAGGTGACATCACAGATTCCCAGGGCAGAATGTTTGTAAGTTACAGTGCTCAGCAAGTATCACACTTTTACACGAATGTCCCAGGTGGAGTTTTCCGATGTCCTTGCACTAATCCTGCTCTCCGAGCAAGAGATCAGGACTGACCCAAGACACCCCAGATCTCCCCAATCACAGGCTTGCATACTGGCTGTGTTCACACAGCTAGCTTAACTAGATCAGATGTAGGTGCCTTTGTAAACCATGCTAAGCTTCTTTTTGTTTTGTTTTAGTGTGGCTTACCAAAATCTGGTTAGCTAATGGTTCAATTTATTGTGCAGCAGACCACAGTGGATCAAACTAGGTTAAGCATGCTGTGTGAATGCAGCCTTCACGGCTCCCACAGGCTGCACTGCCTGGACAGGCAGGCGATGCCCGTTCACGGAGCAGACTGGTCACGCCACTCCTTTGATTCCAAGGTGAGATTCGGCCAAGTGTGAGCTGGGGAGCCGAGTGCCCATCCCTACGTTTGCATGTAGGAATCCACGTTCCCCTCAGTGTTGCCACGCCTTCTAGGAGCAGTCTGACTTTCTACAGCCTCAGCCTCTGTTCTGGAGTGTGGGGTCCACAGAAATGGCCTACCTTATAGGGTTGTTGGAGCGATGACCTGGATGGTCTTGGAGCGTTCTCCAATGCTGCATTAAAGCCCTTTCTGGAGAGGTGGGGTAGACTTTCCATTGGGGTAGCATCCAGTGGTCGCTTCTGGTCAAATGTCCCCGAGTTACCCAGTGCCAGTATCCCAGAAGGAGGCATGGGTCCCGTCCTCTGTAGCACACCAACAGGTCACATCACGGTGGGTGTCCCTCCCATGGCCCCCCTAACATTCCAGCCCATGCGATTTACCCGGAGCAGAGTGACACCGTCTTATAATTGATGGACTATAAATCTCCGTTGGCGACACCCGCTGTGGATGGCGTAGTTATGGTGGGTATGCATCTGCAATGCAGCGTTGGGTTCCCAGTTGGATTCAATCTGGATATTGGGGGGGGGGGGGGGAAAAAAG